GGTAATCAAGGTCGTACATCGCAAATACTTACATGTAAATCAACGAAAACGACACGCACCCTGAGCTACGTGCACCTTATCACCCGCAATCAGGTACTACAGAGGACGGAGACCTGGGTCGCAGTTGATTGGCGGAAACTACGTGTCCGCAGCCTGTTCATTGCAAGCTGACCCCTGATTGGTCAAAATGGTGGATGCAACAAACAAAGCGGTGTCCGCTGCATGCCACTTAAGATTGGTGCATACAGAGAGCATCCGAACTCGTGGGCTGCTTTCTTTAGATTAAACTTTGATAAACCAGGCTGTATTTGCTTTTCTGACTCGTTTCGGGAATTATCTTCAGACTTCGTGGCCCTACTGCAAAAAGCAAAAAGCATGGGAGGGTCAGGCCGATGTTCATACAGAAGCACAGGCTTTCTTGCAATTTGTGAATTTGGTACTAATCAAATACCATCAGACCTCAGAGTGTTCCAGCAGCGAAAAGGACAGCCTTTAAAAAACACGGACAGTAGCTGCGTGGAATAGCCTTCCTCCGACAGCTCACGGATTCGCGGATTCACGGATTGATACACAGGATTGAGGCTTTTGCCCAAGTTTCCCGGGTCCAATTTGTTCCTGTCGTTCAGCGGCTGTTGTTCACTCGGCAAAAAAGTGAAAAAAGGGTGTAGCATTGCTCTTTATATTCTCAGCACTGGGCAGTATGCTTGCCAGCGCGAGGATTCGCATTAATAAATGTCGAATAGTGCTTTAAACTGGGTTCACGGATTCACGGATTGATACATAGGATCGAGGCTTTTGCCCAAGTTTCCCGGGTCGCTTTTGTTCTTTTCGGAGCGTGGGCAACCGTCGGAGGAAGGTCATCACACGCTGCTAATACCCGAAATGATAAAAAAATTGCTCAATGAATGTGCGCGCTCTAAGTTTGAAAATGTTCTTACCATGTCCCAGCCGTGTCTTTGCTGGGTCAACAGTGAAAACCTGTTGGTCATGCTTTGTTCAAGCAGAGCATAAGTAAGAGGCGACGATACTCCAGGGGAGAGAGCTCAAGCACCGCGAGACGCGTTTCATAGTCCACGGATTTGAGGCCGGCACCCATTCTCGTAGCGGCTCGCTGGGCACACTCAATGAGGGCGAACTCTTTCGTGCGTCCTGAGTAGAACACTTGGTTGTCATATTCAAGGAGCGGTCTGACGTGGGCCCCATAGACCATTCGGAACTCCATGCGAGTAATACGGGAGAAGGTGCGTCGGATCATCCGTAAAACGGCGAATGACTTTTGGGACGATTTCTCATGGTGCATTGAGAAGGACAAGTTTGAGGAGATCCAGATTCCCAAATCCTTTTGGCATCTATACTCGTGATGTTCTCTGGTCCCTTTTCACCATGCATAACAAAGGCATTCGCTGAGTCTCCTCCAAACGATATGTGGACGCACTTTT